CCATGCCCTGCTACTGCTGTATAATGTTGTCCCAGTCAGTTTCGTCATACCAACATCAACTATTCCAAAGGAATTACTGAATTTTGTTTTTATGCTTGTGATAGCTGCTACAGTTTCTATTGCTTACTAGTGTGACAGGTTTTTAGAATCACTGTGGAAACAAACTTGTCACGCTAAGGGGGAAGAACATCCTAACTGGATGACAGCCTTCTGTGTGTTTGGATCTTACTCCTCATCAAAAGGAGAAGGCTAGCTGTGCACGAGTTTCATCACTCTCTGCTCCCTGACTACAGAAGCCGTGTGACCAGCTGCCTCTGGCTCCAACCACCATAAACTCACTGCCCCAACTTCTGCTCAAACTGTGACCCAAATAACCCTTTCCTTTTAGAAGTTGCTTTTGTCAATATTTTGTCCCAGCTATGTGTAAAATAACTAATGCTGAAAGCAAAACTTTAACCACAAGATTTTCTGTTTGGAGAATTCAATCTCCCAAGCTATTTGCTCACATTGACCAACTGAAGTACCTAAGGCATAATTACTACTTATCTGATGTCAAAAATACCGCCAGTCTGATTTTCTTTAATAAGATCTCATTACACATCCAGCCTAGAACTCATTATGAAGAGCAGGCTGGCCACAAACTCATGGCCCCCCTAACTCAGCCTCTCAAGTACTGGGGTTATTGTAACCGTCGTCCCTGGCTTGATTGTTTTAATAGGTTCCACTCCCTTCCCCTCCTCCTCTCTTCTCTTTTCCTCCCCTTCCTCAATGCGATGTAAACATATATACATATGTAGATGTAAATATATTATATACATATTTTACATGTGATGCTGTTGGAAGAGGTATAGAAGGAAAGGATGATACAGCAGCAGATTGCAAGGCCCCATGGAAACCCTGGGTGGGCTAGAGAGTGTGAGAGTCAAAGGGAGGCTGCAGGTGACAGGAGCATTCTGTTGACTGACAGGCGAGCCCAAAGCCTTGCCCTTCCTGTAGTGGCTATTTAAATAAAGAGAAAGTCGGTACAGGGTCGATGACATGTCAGCAGGCCTCTGTCCCACAGCGTCCCCTGCAGAAATCCACGTAGGTGCCCAGCCCACAGTCGTCACATTTGTTTTGGGTGATGACTTTGTCCCTGTGAAAGGGGGACTCATACTTGGCAGTCTCCATGGAGAAGGAAGCAGTTGTGCTTGTTAGAAACAACACAAAATGTCCTAGCAGAAAGGTTTGGGCAGCTAAATCAGTACTTATTGTGAAGTTCCCATTTGTTCCAGAGCTCATGATGGAAATTTCGCACACCGATTTTCTTGCACATGTAAAACAAGTTCATTTGCTCTAACTGCAAAGGTTAGGAAACCACACACCTACTCATTCCATAGGAAATTTGCAAAAGAAATGGTAGCTGAGTTCTCCAAGTGACAGCTATTCAGACATAGATCAGTGTTTCCACAGCCAGTAGAATAGGAAGAAAAGAACTGGAGGCCCAGGGCTGATGAGACGGCTCAGCAGTTAAGAGCACACTCTGCTTTTCAAAGGTCCCAAGTTTGGTTCCCAGAATCCATTGCCAATGGCTCACACCACCTGTAACTCCAACTCCAGGGACTCTGACCTCTGCCACACCAAAACAGGGAATCTGACCTCTATGGCACCGGCACTCACAGATGCACTCATAGGCACAAACCTTAAATCTTTTAAAAAATAAAAAATAAGAGTCTGAGGCCCGCTGTGCCACACAGCTATCTGCTGCAAACGGCCCCCAAGAAGACCTGTCTGTATTAGCAAATGTATCTCCAAGGCACATTGCTAAATCAAGGGGAAAAAAGAAGGCTCAAAGCACTGTTTAGTAGCATAGCTTTAAGTTTTGTACTTGATATAAACATTTAGAGGAGAAAACTGAGAACTGTGGTTTTGCTTATGGAAAAAAAAAACTAATGAAAGTAGCTATCTATAGGTCAGTGGGTAAAAGCACTTCCTGTGCAAATCTGATGGCCTGAGGGTTTGATCCCCAGATCCCATGGTGTAAGGAGAGAATCAATTCCCAAAGTTGCCCCTTGACTTCAACATGCGCTGCAGTTACCTGTACCCCGCCCAATCCCACATACACACTAGCAAATTATAGTTTATTTTTAAGGTTTTTGCTGTTATTTATTTTCATTGCAAAGCAGCCACAGTTACTTTTATTAGTTCTTGATCATAGTCGCCCTTTCCCCACCCCTCCCTATGCAGCCAACTTTCTTTCCTTTTCACCCATCAACTCCAATTTGCCTGTCCATGTTCGTCTGGTTGCATGAGTCGCTGGGGGCCACACTCTGAGAAAATTGGCTCTTAACCTCGCAACAGCTATCACCTGCCAATAATTCCCCAGCTACGGTGGGAGCCCATGTCCATTTCCCCTCCCTGCACAAGACTTAACTTTTAGGTCGTGTGTTAAATTAGGTTACATTTATTCGTAAACTGAATAAATGTAGATACCGCAAAGAAAAAGGACTTCTCAGAGTATACATCATTCGGTGTTATTGTAAGGCTTCAAATCGGCAATATATTGTTTATTCAAAATGTTTACAAGTGCCACGTGGTGGTAGCACATGCCTTTTATCCCAGCACTCAGGAGGCAGAGGAGGCAAATCTCTGTGAGTTCGAGGCCCGTCTGGTCTACAAAGTGAGTTCCAGGACAGCCAGGGCTGTTATGCAGAGAAACCCTGTCTCGGGGGAAGAAAAAAAAAAAGATGTTTAATAGCGAGTGGTTCAAAAGACTTGAGTGCACTGACCAAACCCCACTTGCCTTGGAATCTCTTTTCTACCCGTGCAGTGGCACAGCAGCATCGCAGCATTGCCATTGGTATGACCCCTGGTTAGCTGTGTCAGTTAGGAATCTGACAGGTCAAATGTCCAATGTGTCCTGAGCTGGCTCTGGTGCCTCACACGTGTGATTTCCGAATTTGGGAAGCTGAAAGTTAGGTTCAGGCCAGCCTGGACTACGGGACCAGATCTCGTCTGAAATCTTTAAATGAATCTAAAGTTTATTCCTATCAGAGAGCAACAATCCAGATCTAAACCGGCTTGGGGCTGTGGAGCACACAGAATTGCTTCCTGGGGGTCGGGGGTGTGCTACACCACACGCTTCCCAGCATCTCTGGGCACCCTGGCTTCAACCTCACACATGGCTGGTGTCTCCTCCAGCCGTTTCCAAGCATCAACTTTGGAGGTCGCTGCCATCTCCAATATGAGCCTGGGGTTCTGCTGCCCTTCACTTTAGAACACGAATCTGCTGGGGGTGACCCGGGAGCCAGGGCCTCCCCCAGGGCCTCAGTGCGGTTGTTCTCTTGTGCAACCACCATGATGCGGATGCACGGCATTCTGGGCTTGAGAATGTGGGGTATTCAGAGCCAGACCAAGAGTATGTGTGTGGGGAGACAGCTGGGCTTACGGGCCTGCCAGAATCAGGGAGAGGGAGAGAGTGGGAGACCACTCATCTCCCCCACCACTCCCCTTTCCTCATTCTGGGCCCCAACTCCAGGCCAGCGTGTCTCCAAGTGAGGGGGAAAAATGGGAACATGGGACAAAGCCACATGTAAGGGATGTTAGGAAACCCAAACACAGTTCGGCACTGATGTACTTAATTTGGTTTATAAAATGCAATTTGCAATTTCTGTGGAATCCTCTGTTAGTGTTAAAAGGGAAAACAAAAGGGCTCAGTTGAACAGACGTCAGGAAGAGAGTCCGGGGTGGAGTCTATCGCCATGGGGCTGGAGACTGCTTGCAGGTCGCTGGACCACTCTCCTTTAGTTTCCCCATTTGAAAAAACGTGATAATAGCCTAGTCAGCTTCACAGAGGCTGCATAGAAACATAGGAGCCATGACTCAAACGTTAGGCATGTGTCACTGAAACGGCTTACTTTTAGCTTTTTAATCTAAAAAGATTATTAGTGAGTACAGTTTGATTTGCTCTCAAACAAGCTGGGCTTTTTCTTCTTCTTCTTCTTCTTCTTCTTCTTCTTCTTCTTCTTCTTCTTCTTCTTCTTCTTCTTCTTCTTCTTCTTCTTCTTCTTCTTCTTCTTCTTCTTCTTCTTCTTCTTTTTTTCTTAACCTGTTCAAGGCCTGTTTCCTACAACTTTCTGAGGAGAGCTGTACCCAGCATCAGCCCAGAGGTTTTGGGTGATGCCCGTTGCTCCTTCGCCCAGCAGTAGGCACGTGACCAATCAGAGCAAACCTGTCCCCAGCCACATGACCCGTGCTGCCCAATCAGTTTCAAATCTGAGCTTTCGGTGCAACTATTAAAGAAGCCCCCACTCCTTGGCAGAGCAGGTGGCACGCCTGAGGGTTCTAGAATTCTCCTCACTCCTCTAGAGGAGAGGCTGCCGGAAAGCACCCACCGAGAGGAAAGCAGGTCTCAGCGACGCCTTCGGTTGCTGCAGTCCCTAATGCGGGTTCCGCTCTGTGACCCGAGGCAATAGATGTTCTTGTCATGGAACAGAAGTGGATTTCTGAAGCCTGTAGCTCTGAGCGTCTTGGCTGATGCAATTCCCGAGACAGTCTGAGACTCTGCAAAGATGAACCAATCACGCCCACATACAACACTGCGGGAACTAAGACAACAGAAGGCTTAAGCCACGTCTCCGTTTTAAGTACTTTTTTCTGAGATGCACACTCGCGTGTGTACATGCAAAGGCCAGAGGGTACCAGGTGCGGTTCCCTATCACTCTGTCTTATTCCCTAGCGACAGGACCTCTCATGAACTCAAAAGGCTCCAGTTTTTCAACTTCACCCTCTGCCCAGCCAGCCACGGCCTCCTGACACGGGGTATGGAACCATGGTCAGCTCTTAGGTGGATGTTAGGGAGCCAAACTCAGGTCTGCACACAGGAGCAGTTCTTACCCGTAGAGTCCTGTCCCCAGGCCAAGCCATGCCTTTATGACAAACATCCAACTTTCTGGAACCAGCCCAGATAACTACACTTCATAAGCGCACCCTGGTGACATTTTATAACAAAGACAAATTACTAAAATAAAGTCATATTTTATTTTACCTTCTCAGGCATGCAGTCCAAGGAAATACACATTTGTAGAAATTAAAAATAATACCAAAATGGGGATAACGTTAGAAGTTTCATGGAATCTGCAGAATGGGGTGATTTGGGGCCTTCTCGGCTTGCCAAGACAGGTCTAGCCCATGTAACAATTTCTGTGGTATCTGTCCAGAAGAGAGTTGTCACACAATCATGAAGCCCAAACAACTGAAACATGTATGGTACACAAAGCAAAATGGACGACATTACTAGGTAGCACAGACTAGTTGTTGACATCAAAATAACCAGTGAACTAGAGTAAATAAACCAACTAGGCAGCACCTCAGATGTTACTGGATTTGTTCGTTCATTTATATACGCACACATTCAGTGTGTATTTATTAAGCACCTAATGTGTGCCAGAAGGCACGGTGTTCAACTCTAGGTAAAGGCTCCTGTTCTGCCCTAAAGGAGTGAGCGCCTAGTCTCTGGTGGAAGTGCAGAAGGCCACTTGCATTCTGGGAAGTTCCAACAACATTCCTGACCAAAGCAAAGAGCAGCACGGATTCAGTTGGCCACAGTTTCCACAGGGAAGGTGCCTGCTCCCCTTTCTCTTCAGAATGACAAAAGGTCACTGTCCTTTTGTTCCAGGATTAACACGGCATTGTATTACAATGGACTCAGAAATGGCTGCCAGTCTCCACCACTCCACACTTAAGGAGACCCAGGATGTCACAGCAGAAGTGGCTGCTAACCCTCACCCACCCAGGAGTCACCACCGCACGCCCCTCGGTCCCCAGGTGTCCCCGCACCCAGGCTGTCCAAATGGCCCGCTCTGCTCTTGGCATGTGCCTCAAGGCAGCCCCACCTCAGACTTAGATATGGAACTCAGGGTTTCATCAGCTCCTCCAAGTGCTTCTTCCTCTACAACAATTCTGAACTGGAGGCGGAGTCTGCCTTCCAGACTGACACCTTCCCTGTGATGTCACTAACAGTGGCCACAGGCTTTGAAAGGAGCAAACAGCAGCCTGCACCCAGGCTCCTACACCCATCTCCTGTGAGGGAAACTAAGAAGTCTCACTTCCAATGCCCCTTGGGAAGGGTAGTTTATCATTTCTATGCTGCATTGCGGAGCCCACCCTTCCAGGAATTAGTTCCTAGGGTCACCAGTTAATAGCAGCCTCTGTGGGAGAAGTCAATCAAATAAGGAGACTGAATTTTCCAACTGAGGGTCTTCTACATCTGCTGGTTAATGTGCACAGTAAATGGTTTTTGAAGCCTTAACTATAAAAACATTTTTGCTTCATGCGCTAAAAATCAAAGTGCTTTAGTATTAATTTATTAACTGAATCTTTACCATTAGGGTACATAATCACTATGAATTAGATTATATAAATGCTTGTGATGAAAAATGTATGCAGGTCACTCTTTTTTAAAATGAAATTTTAAAGTGAATATTCCCTGATTAGGATTTTTTTAATATAACAAACATTTTTTTCACTTAGTGTATTTTCATAAGTCATTCATACATAAAAGTCTAAATAATCTATACAAAAATATCCCCATTTTCTGCAATGCTTCACCTTTTCTGCATATGAATTTGTTCATATAAAGAGTGTCTTAGAAAAATATAAAAATATTGCTAAAGTGTCATCGATGCTAAACATTTTCTAGAAAAACATACCTTTGTAAAAAGAACTACTACTAGAAATTCTTAATGAAATTCAAGTCCCGGATGTGCCACAGATGCTTCCTGACCGGGGTGACATCCAAGTCCATCCGTCCTCTGTGCCACTTCCAGAAACTGTCTGTGACATTCACTGAGTGAGACAGGATTCTCGCTTTTTCAAAAGTCATCATTGATTTCTGTGGATATCCTTAGGGTGACGCTCTACAGAGACAGATGGGAAGAATGTCAACGAGTAAGACGGTTCCAGTATTAGCGATGGCATTCTCAGACGTGCCCTAAGAGGCGACCCCACTATTGTGCCATGCTTGGAAGGGGACCTAGAGAAGTCGCTTGGCTTTGTACATCGTTTTAGCCAATGACTCGCTTGTTCTAAAAGGTGAGAGTCTCCCTGGGGTCAAATATGCTAAGATCTTCTTCTCTTCTCTTGGTCTTGGGAATATTTTCAACAACAAAGTTTTTAGACAGTCATATTTTCAGGGCTTTGGGACTAGTGAGATCTGCCTGAACACAGCCAGGACTTTGAGCATCAAATAGCACATAACGAAGTTCCACTGGTTAAGTGACCAGTTAGGACGTGTCTAATGTGTCCTCCTTTGGGAAAAAGCTAATAAGGTTGTGTGGAACACAGCCCCCCCCCCACACACACATTGTAAGAGTAAAAGAGAATGTTTCTCAAAAATACAAGAACTTTTCTAAATTTTTGCTAATCCCGATCATCACAGATTCATATAAAATTTGAACTGATGGATCCTTACCTGGAAATCTTGGATGAATGTTAGGAAATAGAAAATAAAACCAAAGGCCACAGTCCATTCACAGATAGCGCTCACAACATGATACACATAATCCTAGCAGCAACAACAAAGAAACGGAGTTTAGCCTAAAAGGGCTCATCCAAAGGTAATCGCCTGAAATACAAGGAAATCAACACCAGAGAAAAAAGCTGCCCAATGAACACTTGCTGTCACCTCGAGGGAAGGCCGGATGCAGTCTTGCAGAGAGAGATCAGGGACGAGCCCAGGGCTGGAGGGAATGAAAACAGCTCCCACTTGTCTGAAGACCTGATGTACGTAACCTCAAGATAAGGCTGATCAAGGACCACAGACTAGCGGGGACCGCCCAAGAATAAGTGTGTGCAAGCAGGCCAGACAACCCAGCCCAGCCTCCCTCTAGGTGTGTCTCTCTGTTCCCGTCCGTGTCAGTTCTGCTCAACACAATCAGGCAAATCCAGCTGCAGGGCAAATGCCAGAGAAACACACCCAGCCCATGGCACTCCCTTTGGAGGAAATGGATGCCCAAATCAGGGCCTCTGAACTCAGCTGCGTCTGGAGGTGAGGAATCACTTAGCAGATGGTTGAGATACTGAAGATCAACTCATCCCATTTCTTTGGATTCTATTCATTTTTACTTTATTTTTCAGTGATGGGGATTGAACCCAGGGCCCTGCACAAGCCAAAAGAAGTGTTCTGCCACTGAGCTACACTGCCAGTCCACTCACTCCATTTGGGAAAACATGCCAGTGCTGTTTCTGAAGTAAAAAGCTCTTCACACATGCATGCATGGGCATGTCTCTCTCCCTCCCTCCACCCCACTGTGAACTCCACCATTTCTGGGTCTGTGTGTCTCCCGCCACGTCTGTTTGTCTGTGTGTATGCATTTTTCCCTTCCCATGTCTCTCCCTGTGTGCGTGTGTGTACGTGTGAGTGTGTGTGTGTGTGTCTCCTCTCCCATGTCTCTCCCTGTGTGTGTGAGTGTGTGTGTATGTGTGTCTCCTCTTCCATGTGTCTCTCTATGTGTGCGTGTGTGTGTGTGTGAGTGTGTATGTGTATGCGTGTGTCTCCTCTCCCATGTCTCTCCCTGTGTGTGTGAGTGTGTGTGTGTGTATGTGTGTCTCCTCTTCCATGTGTCTCTCTATGTGTGTGTGTGTGTGAGTGTGTATGTGTATGTGTGTCTCCTCTTCCATGTCTCTCCCTGTGTGTGTGCATGTGTGTCTCCTCTTCCATGTGTCTCCCTGTGTGCGTGTGTGTCATTCCTCTCTGTGTATGTGTGTGTGTTATCATCTGTGCTTTTTTTTTCTGCTGTAAATTCACTTGAAAGCACTCTTAAATTCTACATTTTTTTTTTACCCTAATCTGCACTCTGCTCAACTCACATGCCAACTCTGAAGACACTGAGTTTGAGGCCTGTGGTTTCAGGTAAACATGTCAGTTCTGGGGTAACAGCTCTTTTCTTTGACCTTCTTTGCATTCAGAGAGATTTAAGGGATGTGTATCAAACTGTGGTAGACATCTCTACAGATGTTCACATCTGTGCATGGATCTCACCCGAGGTCATGACTGAGGAGATGCTGGCCAGTCTGATTAGGGACAAAGAAGAGTGGTCACTGATGTTGGGGGCCAGCAACAGGAGCCATAGCCTACCCCACATCAGCCCTGCACGAGGAAGATGGTTTACAAAAGCAGAGGGCAAGGGGTCAGAGACGGCTCAGCAATTAAGAGCACTGACTGCTCATGCGGATGACTGGGTTTGTTCCCAGCACCCACACGGTCTAACTCCAGCTGCAGGGGGGACCCCAAGCCGCTTTTGCCTCCGAGGAGGAGCACCAGGCAGGTGCATATGCATACGCGAAGGCAAAACACACACACATAAATATTTACTTAAAAAATGTTAGTAGTCAGGAAGACTGGCAGACTGGGTGAAAGGCACTGTGGCCAAGCCTAATGACCTGAGTTCAGTTAGAGAGTTGTTCTCTGACCTCTGTCTCCTCTCTGTCTCTGTGTGTGTGTGTGTGTGTGTGTGTGTGTGTGTTAAACAAAACTGTAATGGTGAGCAGTATGACCCTGAGAGGGTAGGAACCTGAGTTCCATTTTTCCACTTTACATGTAAATGCAGGCTAAGCTACATGAAGGACAATGGTTATAATTCTCACCCTCCTCACCAGGTAAGCCACACTAGAGAGCTCTAACATACTACATGGAAGCTCAGGGCAGGGCCTAACTCTTACTCTAGTCAGACACTGGCTTAAAGATTCTCACTGCAGCCATTGATACTGGAAGCAGAAGGCAGCATCTGGGTGGCAAAGGAAAGAGAAAACCAGCACCATTTTTATGCTCTACAAGGACTCCCTTTGTAGCCCAGGCTGGCGCTAAAGTCATGCTCCTTCTTGCCTCAGTCTTCAGAGCCCTGGAATCGCAAGCAAGAGCCACCCACCCTTCTTTCCTCCTTTTCGCACTTTCAGACAGGAAGTGGAAGAAGCTAACAGCTTTTCCAGGGTTTAAGGGCATGCTTTGTTGAGCCTAGCTGAGGACGCGGTTGCATTTCATTTGTGATGGATCACTGCCACCTAGTGTCTAAAGATTAAAATACATCTGGAGTCGCTCTACTGACTTTTCAGTTTCCTCGACAAGAGGAAAGGAACACCAGACTACCCTCCCCACCACTCAGACCTTATGACCAGCTATTCAAAGGCAGCACTTTTGAAACCCTAGCTGGGTCAATCTCTTCTCCAGCAGCGTCCCTGTAGCTTCCGCTGCATGCCCGAATCTTCTGATCTTGTGGAAAACTCTTGCTCTGATCATGCTATCCCCTCTCCCACCGTTGCCTCGACGCCCTTCCTCTCACCTCTTATCTGTAGCTTCTAACCCAACTGCTCTCTGAAAAGCATCAAATTCGGGACCCTCACTATTGCTTCTGTGGTCTGCAATTCTACAACACACTGCTGGACTTGAATTCAGAATCGTGCTCACTTTCAGAGCACTATGTGTGGCAGAAGACAGCACTGTCTGCCCCACTGGTCTCAGGCCCCTTTGGGGACTTGCTTTCCCACAGCCGCCCTTCCTCCTAGCCTTCCCCCACAGAGCCCGGCCCATGGCAGGGACTAGCTCATGAGAACGGTCTGGGGGTGGCCCTGCAGAGTCCGGTCCTTAGATGGGCTTGTGCATCTTCCTGTCTGTTTCTGACTGAAAGCATTCCTCTGTTTGCCCCCTAAGTCCCCGGTACTTCCTATCATCCTCCTGTCCCCCAAGCATTGTTCATTCTGGGCAAACTGACACATACTAAGGAGCAGTTGGAGCCCCAAACTGACGAGTTTCCTTGGAAACAAGAGATTCCAATGTACTGGAGTCAAGGTAATTAAGAAGACTCTCTGCTTTTTAAGAAAACCTGAAATGCCAGGGCTCTACAGGGAAACCCTGTCTCAGAAAAAAAAGAAAACGAAAACAAGAAATAAAACAACCACAAACCCCACTTTCCTGCCATTGCCCAATTGCATGATGTCTGTGTGTGCGCACGCACATGAGAGTGTATATGTGTGTGTGCACTTGTATATGTGTATGTGTGTGTGACCTGTGTGTGTGCCCACGCGCACAAGAGTGTATGTGTGCGTGTGTGTATGTGTACATGTGTGTGCATGTGTGCATATGTGTGCACCTGTGTGTACATGTGCGCATATGTGTGCACCTGTGTGCTCGTGTGTATGCATGTGTGTGCATGTGTGTGTACATGTGTGTGTGCATGTGTGTGCACTTGTATGTGTGCACGCACAAGGGTGCACACTGGTCTCTGCCAGTAGAGTTTCCCAGCGCAGCTCTGCGGTGCTTACTCCAGTCTGTAGACCAGCAGCTCCCTTGGATTCATGAACTGCAAATAATGGCCAATTGCCTCTGTGAGTGAATTTGCCCCCATGCTGTCTTTTGGAGCTAATGATCACACACACAGTAAGCTGGTTTCATGTCACGCTGACCCCACACTTCCTGACCCATTCTTTTTTTTTTTTTTTTTTTTGGTTTTTCGAGACAGGGTTCTCTGTGGCTTTGGAGGCTGTCCTGGAACTCGCTTGGTAGTCCAGGCTGGTCTCGAACTTACAGAGATCCACCTGCCTCTGCCTCCCGAGTGCTGGGATTAAAGGCGTGCGCCACCTATGCCCGGCTTCCTGACCCATTCTAAGGAAGGTCAGTGACCCTCCCTAGGATTCACCAGCCACGGTCTCACAGATCCAGGATCAGCAAGTATTCCAAGGGTAAGTGCTTACCTTTTCTTTTGGATTCCACTCCAACTTGGTTATGGAAATTAGCGAAGCACAGGCAATCACTTATGAAAGAGGAGAAGGTTAAGGAACCAGCAGGAGAAGACAGGTCCTTCACTATTCAGACAATTCTATTCACAGTAGCGACTCAGGCTTAGATACAGTGTTTCTAAAATCAGACCACCTTCATGTGGTAACCTCAGACCCTCAGTCACCACAGTAGCTATCCAACAGGGCTGCAGAACACTTGCTTGGCATGCCTAGGGCCTCAAGTTCAGTCCCCAGTACCACAAAATAAATACATAAATCGATAAATTACAACATGGAAATGCAGTTATTCCTTAGCAAGACTTTGGGTGCTGGAGTGGTTTGAATAAAAATGGCCCCCATAGGATTAACATATTTGAATGCTTCGTCACCAGGGAGTAAAACTCGATAGTTTAACGAGTGTGGCCTTGTTGGAGGAAGTGTGTCCTTTTTTGAACTCCTGCTACTGAATAAAAATATATTTTCTCTGAATTGTCATTCCCAAGGAGACAGCTTCTGTAAAAAGGAACACTCCATATACGTAAACAAACTACCACGAGGCTTGGAAAGATGGCTCAGAGGTTAAGAGCACTGGCAATTCTTCCAGGTTCCAATTTCCAGAACGCATATGCATAAGCAATCCAGGGGCTCTGGTGCCCTCTTCTGGCTTCTGGGGGCACCACATAAACTTGGTACAAAGACATACATGCATGCACGCAAAACACCCATACACATAAAATACTAATAATAAAAAAGCTAATTTTCAGCCGGGCGTTGGTGGCACACACCTTTAATCCCAGCACTCAGGAGGCAGAGGCAGGCGGATCTCTGTGAGTTCAAGGCCAGCATAGTCTACAGAGCAAGTTCCAGGACAGCCTCCAAAACAGTACAGAGAAACTCTGTCTCGAAAAACCATAAATAAAGAAAATCCAAAAAAGAAAAAAGCTAATTTTCAAATTCAAACTGCTGACTTCTAGAAACAGACTTTTGATGGGCAGTTAGATAGAAGCAGAGGCCCTTCCTCTGACCCCGAATTATAGAGCCGAACAAGTCTTGCTTTAAGTCAGGCTTGGGGGTAAAGGGCAAGCCCCCTACAGGCCAAACTAAGGATGTAGCCACAGAGGTCCCCACCTTCCCTGGGCACTAGCGCCTCACAAAAGCCGGGGTTGAACTTTGAAGGTAAAGGGGAAAACATGCTGTGGGGAAATAGAAAGCTCTAGAAAGGTTTTTTTTTTTTTTTTTAAACTACGGGGACCCAACCCAAAATACCAAGCCAAAGTCACAGTTTGTGCTGCCTCTACAGTTCAGAGTCACGTGTCCTTTCCTGGCCCCTCCCTTCATGTTCTGCAAAGCTTAGCAGTTCCTTACTTCTCAGAAGAAAAGCAGCGAGAGCATAGATGTTCCTTGATCATCTAATGACCATACTTCTGCTTCCACTAGACTCAGAGCCCGTTAGTTCTCCCGTCCGTTTACTCTTCCTACCCTCTGCAGTGCGCTAGGGACCATGCTGTCTGGGGGACATGAGGAGTTCAGTTAAGCAGACTTAGCCTCGGCACATAGACATGTTAAAGCGCCATGAGACAAAGCCTGGAGAGCATGGTATGCCAGCCTGGTCTACAGAGCAAGTTCCAGAACAGTCAGAACAGTTATAGAGAGAAACCCTGTCTTGAGAAACCAAATAATAGTAATAAATAATGATGATGGTGATAATAAAAGAATAAGTGCAATTAATTTTAACAGCGTATCTCATTTAGCCCAACTTACTAAAATACCATCACTACAGTAATACTGCTGCTGTATGTACTGCCGTATAAGTACCGCGTGACATATAACTTAATGTTAGCATATATTCTCTGCTACCTATGGTGAGGGAAGAGAATGGACGGCTCACTGTTAAGGGTGAACGCTGTTCCTCCAGAGGACATGCGATAGGTGCCTAGCACACACATTGAGCAGCTAACAACTACCTATAAATCACAACTCCAGGACACTATGCCTCTTCTGACCTCTGAGGGGGCACCCTGTACACACACACACACACACACACACACACACACACACATTTAAAAAATAATAATAATAATATTGGTGATGATGTCATTTTAATGTGTAATAATATAGTTATTAGTGTAAGCTGGCATAGGATCTCATATCAGTAGTCCCAATACTTGGGAGGCTAGGATAAGAGAAATCAAAAGTTTGAAGTGAGTGTTAAGTCCACTCACCCCCCGCCCCCCAACCAAAACAGAACAAAACAAAAAGACAAACAACCACCATAAAAATCAAAAGGAAGGCCGGGCGTTGGTGGCGCACGCCTTTAATCCCAGCACTCGGGAGGCAGAGGCAGGCATATCTCTGTGAGTTCGAGGCCAGCCTGGTCTACAGAGCGAGTTCCAGGACAGCCTCCAAAGCCACAGAGAAACCCTGTCTCGAAAAACCAAAAAAAAAAAAAAAAAATCAAAAGGAGGCCAGGGAACTAATGATGTCATTCAAACTCCATTCCTTTTTTTCTCATGAGTGTGCATTTTACATCTGTGAAAGATCTAGCCATGAGTAACACCGGAGACCTGAGGACTGCACACAGTGGATCCGGATCACAGCCTGACGGGATTCAGCCCACCCAGAGACTTCCAGCTTCCAAGTCCCATTCTCCACCCACGGGACAGGCAAGGCGAGGGTCCAGCATATCCAGAGTTTGCTAAGGTCCCAATACTAAGACGGCTTCCATCTACACAAGGGGGAAAGACACCAGGGTATTGGACCTGCTCCCACCCACTGGAAAGGAACCGTGGTCACATACCCATCAGGGGAGGAAGAGACTCCTTCTGCACCCACAGGAAGAAATGATGGGAAGGAAACAATACAAAAACACACCCACCAACAGAAAAACCAATATGACACCGGCAGAAACTAGAGAATATACACCCGCAAGACCTGAACAGTCCATTGCGGAGGAAGCAGATGGGAAAGACCTTGAAAACAACTTCATAGAGGCCCTCAAAGAAGACATGAGAAAATCCTTTAAAGACATGGAAAAAAACAAAAAATACAAGAAATGGAGGAAAAAACAATCCAAAAATGCAAGAATTGCAAGAAATAGAGAAAAAATCCAAAAAGTGCAAAAAAATGCAAGAAATGGAAGAAAAGACAAACCAAAAACTTCAACAAATGTAAGAAAGAGAGGAAAAGACAAAAGAAAAATTACAAGAAACAATTCAAACAGTACAAAGGCTGAAAGCTGAAATAGAGACAATTTAAAAAAACAAAGTCTGAAGGAATGCTGGAAATAGAAAAGCTGGGCAAATGGTCAGGTACTACAGATACAATCATAACCAACAGAATACAAGAGATGGAAGACAGAATCTCAAGTGTTGAAGATACATTAGGGGAAATAGATACATCAACAAAAGAAAATCTTAAGTTCAACAAATCCCTAACACAAAATATCCAGGAAATATGGGACACTGTGAAAAGACCAAACCTAAAAATAATAGGTATAGAAGAAGGTGAAGAAATCCACCTCAAAGGGGTAGAAAACATATTCAACAAAATCATAGAAGAAAACTTTCCCAACTTAAAGAAAGACACGCCAATGAAGGTAAAAGAAGCTTACAGAACACCAAATAGAGTGGACCTCAATAGGAAATCCCCTGGCCACATAATAGTAAAAACCCCCAACATACAGAATAAAGAAAGAATATTAAGAGCAGCAAAGGAAAAAGGCCAGGTAACATACAAAGGCAAACCTATCAGAATCACACCTGACTTCTCCATGGAAATTCTGAAAGCCAGAAGGTCCTGGATAGATATTCTAACAACACTAAGAGACCATAGATGCCAACCCGGACTGCTATACCCAGCAAAGCTTTCAATCACTATAGATTGAAAAACAAGATATTCCATGACAAAACCAGATTTAAATAATACGTATCCACTAACCCAGCCTTACAGAAAGTTCTGGAAGGAAAACCCCAAACCAAGGCAGTTAACACAACCAGCAAAACATAGGCAACAGATAATCCCACCTTACCAACAGCCAAAAGAAAAGATGTGGAAATCCACATAAAATTCCACCACCATCAACTATTCCAAAACAAACAAGAATGAGCAATCAATGGTCATTAATATTCCTCAATATTAATGGTCTTAACTCACCCAGGCAAACAGAGCAGATTCCAAGACAGAACCCATCCTTCTGCTGCATACAAGAAACACACCTTAGCCTCAAAGACAGACATTACCTCAGAGTTAAGGGTTGGGAAAAGATTTTCCAATCAAATGGATCCAAGAAACAAGTGGGGGTAGCAATCCTAATATCTAACAAAGTAGATATTACTAATAAAGTCAATCAAAAGAAATGAAGGAGGGCACTTCATACTCATCACAGGAGAAATCCACCAAGATGAAGTTTCAATTGTCAACATCTATGCCCCAAATACAAAGGCACCCACGTTTATAAAAGAAACATTACTAAAACTCAAATCACATATAAAGCCCCACACACTTATAGCGGGAGACTTCAACACCCCATTCTCACCTCTAGACAGGACTACCAGACAGAAACTTAACAAAGAAGCAAAGGAACTAACAGAAGTTATGACCCAATTGGGGTTAAGAGACATCTATAGAACATTCCACCCAAATAAAAAAGAATATACCTTCTTTTCAGCACCACATGGAACCTTCTCAGAAATCAACCACATACTTGGCAACACATCAAACCTCAACAGGTACAAAAAAATTGGAATAACTCCATGCACCTTATCAGACCAACATGCGTTAAAATTAGAATTCAACAACAACACAAATTGCAGAAACCCTACAAACTCATGGAAGTTGAATAATGCACAGTTGCACCATTCCTTGGTCAAAGAAGAAATAAAAAAAAGAAATTAAAGACTTCCTAGAATTCAATGAGAATGAAGACACAACATACCCAAACCTATGGGACACTTTGAAAGCAGTGCTACGGGGGAAATTCATGCCTCTAAGTGCCCTCATGAAGAAACTGGAGAATAGTTACACTAGAGCATTAACA